CTGATGGGACCTTGGAGGGGCGACCAGAGGGATGGGTGCAGGTTTTGCACAGGCTGTGGGTGCTGGTGGGGCTGCGGCGCACCAGCGCATGGGATGGGGGTGCCGAGACGGTTGGGAGCACCGATGGGCCCGTGGGGTGCAGGGGCTGGGGTGGTTAGGAGGCACCGGTGGGCCCCAGAGGGCTGGGGTCACCGTGGGGGGGCCGTCGACCCGCTCTGACCCCCCTCCCACAGCGAAAGAACGGGGCGCTCTCGCTGGCCCTCTCCCCCCGGAGCGCCAAGACCATCCTGAGCAAGGGCAAGAAGCTGGCCAAGGTGAAGAGCAAAGTGGCCACCAAGCAGGTAAGGGCAGGAGCCGGACCCCTGCCCTGGCACGGACACCCCCCTCGCCGTGCCCCCCACCCACCCTGAGCTCCCTCTCCGACAGTGCAAGGGCCGGGCAGTCAGCAAGCTGCTGGAGAGCTTCACCGTGGAGGACGACTTTGACTTTGATGACAACAGCAGCTTCTCGGAGGAGGAGGAGGAGGGGGGCTGCTTGGCGGGGGTGGCACGGGGGGGACGCCGCTCCCCCCTGCCCCACATCTGTGCCATCCAGAAGGAGGATCTGCGGGACGGGCTGCACATCCTCATCCCCAAGGAGGACAGCCTGCTCTACGCTGGCAGTGTCCGCACCATCCAGCCCCCCGACATGTAAGCGGGGGCCGGGGTGGGGGGGGGTCCCTGACGTGGGTGGGGATGCCGGGGCGGCCGGTTGGGTGCTGAGTCCCCCCCCGGCTCTGTGCCCCCTCTCCAGCTACAGCATCATCATTGAGGGCGAGCGGGGGAACCGGCAGCGTATCTACTCGCAGGAGCAGCTGCTGCAGGAGGCGGTGAGCGGGGCGGGGGGGCTGGGGCGGGGGTCCCAGCGGGCAGCACGCCCCGCGGAGCCCAGCACGCCGCTTCCTCGCAGGTCCTCGACATCCGGCCCCAGTCACGACGCAGCCTCCCGCCGGGCACTCGCGTCTGCGCCTACTGGAGCCAGAAATCCCGCTGCCTCTATCCGGGGAACGTGGTTCGAGGTGAGGAGCAGCCGCGGGCAGCCGGCGGGGTGGGGGGGCATGGGGGACCCCTGCCCCATCCCAACAGCCCTTCCCGTGCCGCAGGCTCCTCCAGCGACGAGGAGGAGGATGACCCCGAGGCGGTGATGGTGGAGTTTGACGATGGGGACACGGGGCACATCGCTGTCTCCAACATCCGCCTGCTGCCCCCCGACTTCAAGATCCAGTGTGAGTGGGCTGGGGCGGGGGCCGCGGGCAGGGGGTGGGCAGGGGGGGGGCACTGGGGCCGGCCCTGACCCCACGCTCTGCCCACAGGCACCGAGCCGTCCCCCGCGCTGCTGGTCTCCAGCTCCTGCCGGCGGACGAAGCGGTCATGCGGCGACGTGCCCCCATCCAGCGAGCTGCCCCCCAGCCTCTGCCCGGACCGCCACGATGGCCCCGAGCCCCCCAAGAACTCGGGCAAGAAGGCGGCCAGCAAGGAGAAGAGTGGTACGGGGGGGGCTGCTACCTGCGGACCACCTGCCTGTGGGGTGCCCAAGGGAGGTGGCACCAGCAGCGCTGGTGTGAGGGATGGCGGGATGCAGGGAAGGATGCCGGGATACCAGGAAGGGTGCTGGGATACCAGGAAGGGTGCTGGGATGCGGGGAAGGATGCTGGGATGTGGGGAAGGATGTTGGGATTCAGGGAAGGATGCCGGGATACCAGGAAGGGTGCTGGGATACTGAGAAGGGTGCTGGGATGCGGGGAAGGATGTTGGGATGCAGGGAAGGGTACTGAGATACTGAGAAGGGTGCTGGGATGTGGGGAATGATGCTGGGATACTAGGAAGGATGTTGGGATGCGGGGAAGGATGCTGGAAAGGAAGCTGGGATGCAGGCATTGGGGAGGATAGGAGGCAAGGAAGCAGGCAGGGAGAGGGGATGCAGGGAAAGATGGGGTGCAGGGGGTTGGGAATGGGGTATGGCAGGATGCAGGGAAGGGTGCGGGGCTGGGGATGGAGGAAGGGGGTGGCACAGGGTGCTGCAGCGACGGGGAATGGAGATCAGCCCGCAGGGAAGGACATGCAAGGACAGGGGCAGTCCTGGAGCATCCCTGCCTCCCTCCGTCCGTCTGTCTGTCTGTCCTCCGCCCCTCCTGACCCCCGTCTCCCGCCAGGCAAAGCTACGGAGGTGCTGTCGGGCGGCAAGGCGCCGGCGCTGAGCGACCCCTTCCTGGGGCGGCGCGGCGGGCCGCTGCTGAGCTGGTCGGCGGTGGCACAGACGAAGCGGAAGGCGGCGAGCAAAGGCACGGCCGTGCTGCAGAACCTCTTCCAGGTCAACGGCAGCGCCAAGAAGCTACGGGCCAAAGAGGCCATCTTCCCCGTGCACCACCACCACCACCTCGCCACCCCCGTCTTCGGCAACGGCTTCGGGGCCGACTCCTTCAGCCGCATCGCCAGCTCCTACGCCTCCTTCGGGGCCGGGGCTGGGCTGGTGCTGCCGGCTGCCCAGAAACTCCTGCGCTCCAAGAAGGCCGAGCGGCTGGAGGCAGAAATGGGCAAAAGCAGCCGGAGAAAGGCAGGCAGTGAGTACCTGGTCAAGCTGGACCACGAAGGGGTGACGTCCCCCAAGAACAAGAACTGCAAGGCTCTGCTGCTGGCTGAGAAGGACTTTGGGGCCAAGCTGGAGCGGCCCCTGGCCAGCCACGGCTATGCCCACGCGGCCCTGGCCGGCAAGGATAGGAAGGGTCGGGCGCCCGTGCACCAGCTGCCCGTGGGGCTGGCGCTGCGGAAATACTCGGGCCAGGCCGAGTTCACCCTGAACTGCGACAGCGACTGCCACAGCTCCTACTCGGACATGGACGAGGATGAGGAGGCGGGCGGGCTGGGCGCCGACGTGCCCTCGCGCTTTATGACCCGCCTCTCGGTTTCCTCCTCTTCCTCGGGCTCTTCCACCTCCTCCAGCTCCGGCTCCATCTCCACCTCCAGCCTCTGCTCCTCCGACAACGAGGATTCCTCCTACAGCTCCGAGGACGAGGACTCCACGTTGCTGCTCCAGACCTGCCTCTCCCACCCGGTGCCGGCGCTGCTGGCGCAGCCGGAGGCCCTGCGCTCCAAGAGCGGCACGCCGCAGCGCTGCTTCCTCACCAAGGCCGCCGCCGCCGGCCCCAAGGCCAAGCTCAAGCGCAAGGAGGCCCTCAGCTTCTCCAAAGCCAAAGAGTTCTCCCGGAGGCAGCGCCTGCCCTCGGTGGAAAACCGGCCAAAGATCTCCGCCTTCCTGCCCGCGCGCCAGCTCTGGAGGTGGTCGGGGAACCCCACGCAGGTACGGCCGGCACCCGCCGCGGCCGCTCGGCACGGCACGGCACAGCACGGGGAGGGGAAGGAGCCCCCACGACACCTGGGGGCACGGGTGGAGGTGCATGGGTGCATGGCAGGGTGCAGATGGGTGCATGGGTACGGCAGAGTGCCTGGGGATGCAGGGCAGGGTGCGTGGGCGCATGGCAGGGTGCATGCGGTGGGGCGCACGGGGCACGGGTGCAGGTGCGTGGGTACGTGGGGCAGGGTGCATGTCGGGGTGCCTCTGTGCATGGGGCAGGGTGCAGGGCGTGTGGGTACACGGCAGGGTGCCAGGGGTTGCGGGGCCGGGTGCTTGAGCGCATGGGGCACAGCGTGCCTGGGGTATGCCAGCCACGGCAGCTGGGTGCACGGGGCCAGGTACCTGCATGCACGGGATGGGTTCAGTGGGCACAATGCTTGGGTGCTCGGTGCTGCTTGCGCCGGCTGTGGCACTTGGGTGCAGGGAGCAGGGTGCCTGCAGGGTGCAGAGGGCTGGATGGGTGCTGTGGGAGCAACCCCACGGGGCTCGGCGCTGCTTTTCCTGGGTGCCTGGGGGTCTCACCGAGCTGGCAGGGCGCGCACGTGCGAGTTTGGGGGTCCATGCGCCGTCCCTGACCCCCCCCCACCGTTTCTCTCCCCTCCTCCAGCGGCGGGGCATGAAGGGCAAGGCGCGGAAGCTGTTCTACAAGGCCATCGTGCGGGGCAAGGAGACGCTGCGCATCGGGGACTGCGCCGTCTTCCTCTCGGCTGGGCGGCCCAACCTGCCCTACATCGGGCGCATCGAGAGCATGTGGGAGTCCTGGGGCAGCAACATGGTGGTCAAGGTCAAGTGGTTCTACCACCCCGAGGAGACCAAGCTGGGCAAGCGGCAGAGCGACGGCAAGGTGAGGGG